CATTGTGCTGTCATTTTCCCAACATAGAGAAAAGAGATTGGAGAAGAATGATTTATTTGAATCGAATAATAGAGACTAAAGATTGAAAATTGAAGATTGGAGGAGGAGACAACCTCAATAATGTGAACAATTTCAATCAACGGTTACAGGCGAAGACAACCTCAATAATGTGATCTCAAGTCAAGGATGAAGGCCTTCATCCAATAATTTATATCTTAGAGAAAGAAAGAAATCAGCAATCAGTACTTTTCTGCTACCTCTTGCAGGCAGGAACATAGTTCTTGTGGTTTAGAGAACATAGCCATGTGATCTGCACCAGAAATCATTTTCACCTCATCACATGGAATCTTTTCGACCAACTTCCTCTGGAATCCCGGCTTTAAAACATTATCATTTTCACAAATCAAATAAACACGGCGAACCGAACCATAATTTTCTTTTGAAAGAGCCATTTCTTTCTGAAATTCTGGTCCATGGTAGGAAACCACTGGTCTCATCAACAAGGTTGCAAGAACCAAATCCTGTTAGAATCGAATGCAAAAAATTAGGAGACTCTCGAGGCTTAAATTTGATACATGCACCATAATTTAGTAAATGCTGATATTCAACCTCGGGAGGGGACAACTGATATAACCGACTAGCTAAATACTTGGGGCCAGAGAGGAAGGAGGTGGGAGGTTTGTCCACTCCATTGCCGAATGTTGCTTGGCTGTCCATGTCATCCAACTGTTCGAGGTACTGTATGTAAGCCAAGAATTATGATATTAGCGGCTTTTTTCTCTATAAACGTAACCTTTATTCGCATCCAAGGAAGAAAGTGAAGAGGATTTGCAAGTCATCACCTCTTTACGAATGGCAAGACCGTCAATATCAGGACTCAGCATGAAGGATGAGACGAAAACAGCAACTTCAATTTTCTGAGGGAACCTTTCCATTGCAAGAGATATGCAAAGTCCACCAAGGCTATGGCCAACCAGAATCACCCTCTCCTCTGACGTCAAAGCCGCCAAAAATTCTAGCAAAGGGTTGCAGTAGTCGGAGAAGGAGGCTAGCTCCTCCAAACGCTTAGGATGAACACCTACAGCTGCCATGTCGAGGGCTGTGACTCGATGGCCTTTCGACCTTAGAAGAGTCACCACTTTGTACCAACACCATGCACCGTGGCCTGCTCCATGAACCAGCACAAAGTGCTTCTGTTTCTCACTCTTCTCCATGGTCTTGCTCTTGGTTCTCTACTCTCTCCTTTAATTTGAGAGATCTTTTTTTAGCAATCACTAGATCTTTTTATAACTATCTGTGTCACTAATATTAGTGACATTAAATGATAATTATAATTAAATGAATTATTTAATTCCACATTTCATTTAACATATCACCTAACACCACATAAACTGTGGTTTTAACTTCAGAGGGGCGAAATAACATTACTCATTTGACATTTCACAAAGTGATTTTGGTATTGGACGTTTCCAAATACGTGGCCATCATGACGCCTACATCGCAACTATGGCATAAGGTAATGATGATTTGTAGTTGCATAATCATTACATGCTTGTAATTGGTTGAAAATTTTATAAAAGTTGTAGGTGATAATGATATGGAATATGTGATTACTTAACCATAATTGATTTGATCATCGCTTCATATGAAAACAATATTTTTCTCGTAGCATATTCAATCATACATGCATGTTCATGTTTTACTTTTCGCGATTTATTTATAATATAAAATACTAATGATTAGATCCAAAGAACTTGCCTTTACTTGGGAGTCGTCTCGCTGAAATTTGAAGCAAAATTTCACGAAATTTTCAAGGATTATATAGAGTAACAATTTTATCTTTTTCAAATTTATAATTGTTAATGAGAGGTAAAACAAGAGAACAATTACAAAAAATATGTAATCTTCTTTTAGTGGGTATTCCTTCCGTAGAGCAGTGAAATATAAGTTTACCCTAAATGGTAATAAAGGCTACTTTCATCTGCATCTAATTGGAACGAGCTGGCAGAGGATAAGCCTTTGCACTTTAATCACAAATTTCTTATCCATTTTCACCGCAATGTCTCATGTCATTTGTCCAATTAAAATTTGTATCACTGTTGATGCATAGGAAATATAAGCCCCTGTTTGTTTCCAATTATTTCAACAAGAAATGGCTCTTTTTTACCCTTTTTTTAAAAATTGTGGGGCCACTATGACACAAAGAAGACAAATGTTGGGGCTATAACACTGTAGTAACAGTACAAATTTTGCTTGAAATAGAAACAAAAAGGCACTAGATATTATCGACTCATTCTGTCTAACAAAATGTCTGTTTTTTACTTTGCTACCACCAAAATTTCCACGTTTCAGATTTTTATATAATTATTCAACATCTCGTGGCCCTCGTGCCTGATACTGTCGATAAGGTTTATTCAAATAATGCTCATTTGGTATGTAATATCGATCGAGACTCTTCGTTGAGCAACTGCAACTAGCTTTTAGATTTTTTTTTTTCCATAATTCATAAGATATGTTCAGCGTGAAACCTTCGCAGAATATAGGAAACTTCATACCATTAGGTAGAAGTAATTCCAGACAAAAAATAACGATGGGAGGGGTAATGCAACAAAAGCATTTTGTGGCAACGCATGGTGTTGGCCATGGATCTTGGGTCTACTACAAGCTTAAGCCCCGCATCGAGGTGGCCGGCCACCGTTTTACTCCGGTTGACTTGGCTGCATCCGGTGTCAATGAGAAGAAACTCGAAGAGGTTCTCACATTAGATGAGTATACGACCCCATTGTTGGAGGTTTTGGCCTCGATTCCCGAGAATGAGAAGGTGGTATTAATTGGACATAGTGGCGGTGGAATGGCGGCTTCCGTAGGCATGGAGAAGTACCCGGAAAAGATCGCGGTGGCAGTCTTCTTGAATGCAATTATGCCAGATTCTAAAAACAGGCCATCTTACGTCTTGGAACAGGTAAATGTTATGCTAACAATCTTTAACATTACCTCACATTGCTATTGTTTAATTAGAAATGATCTAATGAGCACCNGTGCTCATTAGATCATTTCTGATTGTTTAATAAGGCAATTAACAATTTTTTTTTAATTACTCAAAAGTATTCTGCAAAGACTCCATTAGATGCATGGCTCGACACTCAGTTTTCAACTTATGGCTGTCCACCCATAACATCATTGCTCGTGGGTCCAAAGTTCATAGCGTCCTCTCTTTACCACTTATCCCCAGTTGAGGTACGTATGATTCTATCTTATTTGCTAAACTGTCTAGTATTGATTGTATAGTCCAGCACCTCATTAATCAGGACAGTGTAATCCTAGTTGTTTATTATAATTGGATCACAGGATCAAGCATTAGGGACACTCTTGATGAGGCCAGGGTCATTGTTTATTGAAGATTTGCTCAAGGCAGATAATTTCACGGATGAGAAATTCGGATCCGTCCCTCGAGTTTTTGTGGTAGCAACTGAAGATAAAACAATACCACCGGAATTCCAGCGATGGATGATTGAAAACAACCCAGTGAAAGAAGTGAAGGAGATCAAAGGTTCAGACCATATGCCTATGTTTTCAAAGCCTGATGAACTTTGCCAGTGTTTGGTGGAGATAGCAGAAACATATGCTTAATCGTTTTGAATTAGTACTGCAGGGGTGGACCTAGGGGGTCCGGGGGGTGGGGGGCATCCCCCAACTTTTGAGATTTTTATTTTATATATAAAATCGTGTTTGGTATCGATTAAAATCTAAATTTTAATCTAAATCAAAATTAACAATTAATTTTAATAACATATTTCATGGAACTGTTTAACTTTTATCAAAATTTACTAAAAATTTGATTTTAATCTCCACCAAACGGGGGTAAAATCACAATAAATTTGAATTTCGATAACGTATTAATTTTAAAAATTATTCGACGATTGTACGTTAATTGAATCTACAAATTGCTTATGTCATCTCAAAATTTATTTCGAGAACTACATTATGGGCATATTGAATAGTCCAAACATATATTAAAAATACGTTAAATGTGAGTCTTAAAAAAAGACGTCTA